GTTGTTCCCCGGCCTGCTCCCTGGCTACATCTTTGGTTATGATCAAAGTTGAGATTTAATCCCACCCAAGCTTGTTTTTGGCCTCCTTTCATCTCGACTGGGTCAGCTTTATTTGTTCTCCATGTCCGTATATATTTTCTTCTTTCCCTCTTCCTTAGCGAGAGAGCCTCTTGATTCTGTCGTAGGACAGAATACAGTGGCCTCTCTTTTTGAGGGCAGGATGGGTCCAACTAACATCAGTTATCTTTAATTTGCTTGTTTTGATATTTTAGTTTATTTTTTGGGGTTCATCACCTCCCCTCTCAATTTATATCATGTACAAATTTTTATGTATATATTATTTTATTATCATGAAATGACATTTTTATGTCATGGGGTGCGTTTTGTAGCCCCCTTCCTGAGAGTATGCAGTATTATGGTATATAGTGGATTGATTGTTGATGGATGAGTTTTTGTAGTGAATGTGTCAATTGTAACGAACGAATGGGTCTTGAATCGGATTAGCTAGTAAGTGATGACCAGCCATCCCCCCCCATTTTTGGCCTTGTGCCACAATTGTGTATTTTACGCAATAACTCTTTAAAAGAAATGACATCAAATCGGGCATGAGCTTCATTAACGAATCTCAGGAGGAAATTAAAAAAAAAGAAAAGCACCAAAAACATGCGTGAGAATTTGAGGAAAACAAAATTAAAAGCTATAAAGTATTGAGGGTGTGGATAAATGACATTGATAATATGTGCACTTAGAGCAGTCCTAAAGACCCTACTTGAGAACCATTGGAAATCTTAGCAATATTTGAAACTATAGCAATGGTGTGGTTGGTGAGAATGCTATAAGAATGATGCAGACATTTTGAGGAAACTCCCAAAAGGAACATCCGGTATGACGTCATGGTAATAATTAAAAGAAAGAAAAGAATAAAGAGAAAAACAAGAAAAGGAAAAGTAAAGGTTAATAATAAAAAAAAATATAAATTTTCAGTAGGTGTCCAGTGTATGTGAGGTATTTTGGTGTATGTAGGAGCAAATGGTGACGGATAGATACTTATGGTGAATGAATAAATTGTAACGAATGAATGGATTGTCAATAGTGTCGATAAACCTTGGACAATCTCTCCCTTTTTTCGGCTTTGTGCCACGTATTTAATCAGTATTAAATTGTAGATATTGGACAGGAGACAAAAAGACGCAAGGACTTTTCTTTTGTTTGAGAAAAAAATGAAATTAAAAAACGAAAACAAAAGGTAGAAAAAACTTGCCTTTTAGAAACTCTACAAATAAAAATTAGCAAAATTGGCACTAGTTTCTACTCTGACATTTTTCCTTTTTTTTAAGTTCAGCATTTATATATTTTTAAATTGCTTCTTAAAGGTTGTAAGTAGAACGACTCCAGTATTGAATTCCGCAATGGAAAACATTAAACGATCATGTTTAATGAGGGCCAATAAAATTTTGATTGCATATTTTAGTGTCGCACACACACACACACACACACACACACACACACACACACACACACACACACACACACACACACACACAAGTACGCACATTGAAACACGAAATAATTTCTTCTGAATAGTATCAAATTCCAATAATACTATAACGATAAATAAAAATTGGAAAATTAGTGCACACGTTTCAATATTCTTCTGTGTCTATCTATCTATCTATCTATCTATCTATCTATTAGTTTTTATTGTTATCATCTCATAATGTTGTCGGCACAACCAAATGTGGCTAAAACAGAGAACGTTCCAAAGCAAGTTCTGAATTTTAAATTTAAAGAAAAAGCAACGGGATTTTCTAAATCTAAATATGAATAGATTGTTACAAGAAAAGGAGTAAATAATCAAATAATACAATTTTATCCATTTGTAATATTTCAAAGGTCGAACAGAAAAAAGACCAAACAAACTTTTTCCAACACTGTACCAAACATTTATTAGCTTGGTCTTCTATCATTGCTGAAAGTGAAAATAATTGATTTATATATATATATATATATATATATATTTATATATATGGGCTATTTGGAGGTAAGGGTATTGTTTGGGTATCCATTAGCTTTTTCGTATTTTTCCATATTTATTCTCAATCATTAAGTTGAAATTTGTATCTGTAGAAATGTGAATAAGTACATTACGTTGCGGCTGAATATGAGAACAGTCAAATTAAATTAAAACATAATACATATCCCGTTACAATGTTCATATATATATATATATATATATATATATATATATATATATATATATATATATAAGCTCATTTATTATTCTGTTAATGTAATTTATTCGTCTTTGACACTCGAAACAAGAAGAAGTTTTCTAGATCGCAAGAGAAGAAGTGTGTGTGTGTGTGTGTGTGTGTGTGTGTGTGAGAGAGAGAGAGAGGGGGGGTGAGAGAGAAAGAATAATAAAGCGAAAGAGTGAGAGAGTGTGGAATGGTTAGAGATAGCAGATAGTAAGAGAAAGGAAAGCAATGAGGAATATATGTATATGAATGTATATATATATGTATATTCGTATGTCTATGTTAATCTTTCTATAAATATTTATTCGTACTTGCATATAACTTATGTTCTAGTTTTACGATAAGTGAATATGTAGCGTTGATAATTTGTCCAGACGTCAAGCGAGTGTATGACTTTGGCCAATTAGGCTTCTTATTTCGTGCTTATTTTCATAAACCACGACAGCATGTCTTGAGTGTGCAAATGACATGACTGCTTGCCAGCTTGCTTGCGAAATCTTTCAAAAGCGATTGCATCAAAACGAAACAAAACAAAATATCGTATTCGATTTATTGAAATTAGTGAAAGCAATTAGATTTTTCTCTAAATGGAAAATCTATCACTTTTTCTTTTTAATCGATTGATTTTATATTAATATTCGTTTATATGATATCTTCAAAAACAGTTATTTTTTTTGTTTTTGTAATTAATTCCGTTTATCGTATGTTTTTTTTAAATAAATATAAAAGATTATATATTATTATCAACTGTGAATGCATTTTATTATGACAAAGTAAAAACAATTACTATCTAAATTAGATGCACCAAACAAACAAATCGGAACAATCATTCACTTTCTTTCTCTCTCCATCTTTCTTAATACACACACGCACACACACACACACGCACACACACACACACACACACACACGCGCACAGCGCGAGCGCACACACACACACACACACACACACATATATATATATATATATATATATATATATATATATATTTTCCTCAATTCATACCAAGCCAGGCGATAATGCCACTAAGACGCAATGTGGTTCTGGGAGTGAAAGAGAATGAGAAGACAATGCTAAGCAGGAAACACGGGATCAAACCTCTTCTCCTGTTCAAAAGACCAGGGATGACTGTGAACTATGCAATAGGCGAACATATATATATATATAAATATACATTATTTAAATATATATATATATATATATATATATATATATATATATATATATATATATATATATATAGGGACAAGTAGGAAAACAAATTTAACATGTTTCGCTATTTATTTAGCTTCATCAAAATAAATATTCTGATGGTGATAAATAAATAGCAAGACGTCAAATCTATGAAGATTTACCATTTTTTTCTTGTTTAATGATTCTATCGGAATTAAACGATTTCAACTCACAAGCGTGCACCCACACCACAGAGATATATATATATATATATATATATATATATATATATATATATATATATATATATATATATATAATGTGTCTTTTTCTATAGATGTTTTTCATGATAATTGTTCTGATGAGCTTTTCTCTTTGGTACGTAGTCCTTTTAAGCACAGTAATAGATTGTCAGCAAGATCTCATTACTTTACAGTTGAAATGGCGAGATGTAACCGCAAATTCTATGTTATGTGCCTTCACTCGCTCTTCTTGCTTGTGGAATTCTTTTCTGGCCTCTTACTTTACAGTCAACTTTGATTTTCAAAAATTTAAATGTAATGTCATTCTGTCTTCTTAATTTCTATTCTTTTATTGTTCGCTCTCCTTAATTACTCGGTGTACAAAAACACACACATACACACGTATGTACTTTTGACTAAATACACTTTTAATAAACTAACATATAATATGGAATTGTGCATTCGAAAAATATTTCTTAAAATTTTAACAGAATGTCTGAATAAATTTTTAATTCCGAATTCAGTGCACCATAAACTTAAACACATATAGAAATATTCGCTCATAAATAACACACTTGCTAAACACATGTAAATAAATAGGACGGCTTTATAAATTACCTATCCTTTCTTTTCATTTAGTACAACTGCCTCATTTTATTTTAATTTTTCGCGTTTTATTTGTTTATTTTTTCTGTTCCCTTTTCTTGTCTACCAATTCTGGCACCTTTACACTTGTCTCTATGACGGCAGCCAGAAAGTGATTTTTTCCTTTTATGGCATCAAAACTGACGACACGTTACGTTAAACATGGTCGTCACTAACAATAAACGAACGCCTGAAGCCACAATTAGAAACTTGGATCATCGTTGGAGTTGTTGGCGTTGGCGGCGGGGGCGGTGAAAAGATCAGAAATAAATAAAATCTATCAAAATAAATAAAATCTATCAAAATAAATAAAAAATAAAGATGGGTTTGCTGGATGGTGTAGCAATAAACACGTATAAAAAAAAGTTGTTGCCTTGAAGATTTATAAATTAATATTTATTATTGCTAATTATACAGAAATACAGAGAGAAATCCATTTTTGAACGCACGGGACACACAGACAAGAAGAGGACTAACAGTGTGCATATACGCATACAGTCAAAGACAAAGGAAATATATGCATACACACGCATTCATGTAATTATTAGTGTAAAAGAGTAAAATGAAAGTGAATATAAAGAATTACTGGAACAGAAGGAGTGGAATGTTAAAGCAAAATATAATGACAGAAATGTAAAAAAAAATGGAATAAAAATATGTAAAAAATAAGAAAAACGCTATTTAAGAAAAGAAAGAAAGACAAAGAATACGATGGATAGGAAAAGAAAAAGCAATAAAAATGAGAAAAGAAACAAAGATGAAGAAAGATAGATAGGGAGAAAGAGAGAAAAAACAAGAAAAAAGAAAGAAGGAAATAAAGTAAAGAAAGCAGAGACTAAAAAATATTAACGAATGAAAGAAAAATATAACAACGTTTACAGAAAACTCAAAAAAACTTTTGGAGAAAAGAAAAAAGAATAAAATATGACGGAAAATATAACGTGTGATGAATGAAATGTAAGAAGAGGAAGAATGTAATGGGAAATTATGTGCAGAAATAAAACAACAAAAAGAAAAGGATAAAAAAGAACCAATGAAAATAGAGAAACTAAAGAAAGAAAGAAAGAAAGAAAGAAGTAACGTCACAATAAAATAAGGGAAAATATTGAAAACATGAAAACAGTTGTCGGTTTTTGAGTCGGAGATAGAGGAACAAAATGGAAGCAATATTCCTGAGAAGGAACACTTTTCTTGCTTCATAAATTGTTAGTTTCATAGACGATGGAAAATAATATATGCGATGTATATTAGACAGGTTTAATTTTCAAAGTCGGCTCACTAATATTACGAATCTATCCTTCTTCATTGCTGTTTTCTCTTTTTTGTTTTTTTCTTCTATATAAAATTTCCTTGCTTTTTTTTTTGGCTTCTTATTTCTTTCATCTCTTTCCATCTTCTTGTTTTCTTATTTATTTTCTTATATTGTTTTCCTCTCTTTCCTTCTCTATATCTTTATTCCGAATATTTTCTTCCTCTTTTTTCTTGATTTTTTCATCACTATAAAACGATTATGTTATTTTTATGTTATACACATTCTGAATTATAGATATTTCGTCAAAAGTTAGACTATCAGAAATCACTTTTTCTGATAGTCTAACTTTTGACGAAATATCTATAATTCAGAATGTGTATAACATACGGAACTAAACTTAGAAGGAAACAAAAGGTGAGAGATAAAGAAAAGATGAGAGATAAAAAAAAGATGAGAGATAAAAAAGATGAGAGATAAAAAAGACAGGAAACAGATAAAAAAGAACAACAAATACAATTCTTGTAACTTAAAAAAAAAATTCTTATCAACAGAATACATGTATCTCATTTTGTACTTTTGAAGCAACTAAATATATTTTGAATCTAATCTCGATTAAAATAAAAAGAAAATTCTAACTTAATCTAGGTTTTAATATATGCTTTTCCATTTTTACGAGGAAACTCATCATGGTTTTTATACTTACAACGTTTCAGTAGAATGAGTGTCTTAATTAAGGTGGTAGAATTTTAGCTTTAAAATTCTTCCTCATCAAGAAGTAATAGGTAAATAAAAGATAAATAGCAATGTTGGCGTTGTTCGGAGCACGCTCTTTTTTTCCGTTACGCTACTTAATTGTTTCTTTATGTGGTAAAATACTAATAACGAAATTGTCATAATTACAGCAGTTCGATTAGGATTAAATATTTGGCTAGCTCTTTTTTTCATAGACAGAATCTTATAATTTATAATATTTGTTATATTTTCAATATATCGTATCAAAGAATGGCAACATTGTTTTATTTCGCTTTGTACGTTGCTTTTCTTCCCTTTACTTCAAAGCTGTAATCTAAATGCTAAGGTCATCCAAGACAGAAAATGACTTAATTTGGATAACTATAAGATTTAATTATAAAAGCAAGTAACAATGATTTATTTATAAAGAACACAACAGATGATATTGGAAATAAATAAGAAAACTATTTGGCCTTTATTTATTGTTTTAAAGATAAATGCATATATTAATTATCAGCATTAAGAAAAAATTACGTACAGATAAATGCTAAAAGGCCGCATTATTTTGCTTAGCGATTTTCGATCAATATATTAATATTATATTTTTGATAAATATATTAATATTATATTTTCTTTAAATGATGGCGTTGCACATTCTTCGAAAAAGATGTCGCAACGCACTCATTTTAAAATTATGGCGCTACACATGCTTTGGAAAACATAACCAAACAGCTTTAACACTGCTTTGTGCAAATTTGCATATGAATAATGAAGATGGATAAAAGTTATCAATATTAGGCATTTTACATTGAAATTTTACAGGAAATTATTTAACATACCGAAAATTGTAGTGGAAATTGCACAAAGAAAAGGGCTTCAAAAACTAATAATGCCAACAAATAGCGTCTGCATTTTTAACAGACAGAGTATTTCCTGTTTCTTGTGATGACATCTAAGCAATTATATCTGAAATAATTGTCCTCTCGGACGACTAGAGTTAACAAGAAAAATGACTAATAAAAAACCAGCAATTAAAATGAATGAACATGTTTTTAGACATTCCGAGAGTTCATAATTACAGTAAAAAGATGCAAATACGAATAATCTCTCCTTTCATTGTATGAAGAACAGTGATTAACCGGGTTGCATGATTATTTAATGGCATCATTTTAATTGCCTGCTTCTACTCTTTGCCCCAGCAAACATACATCGTAACATCCGGCAATCTCACTCAGTTGTCATTTAACATCTCTGCTTCATTGTTTGTTCTTTTATAAAAAAATTAATCGCTTCTTCGCCTGCAGTATGTTTTACTAGTGTTTCGAAAAAGAGAAAAGAATGTATCACTGATATCCTGATGTGTGGATGAAAACTGAAGAATTGATAAGATAAAATCAGTTGCATATTTCGGCCGGATGCTTTTTTCATCTGGCTGTCATTACAGTTCTGATCTATCTAAACAAATTATATATATATATATATATATATATATATATATATATATATATATATATATATATATATATATATATATGTGTGTGTGTGTGTTAATACAAAGAAATAAAATTTGGCACAGCTGATTGAGGTTATATTCAGCGGTTTAACCTCAGAGTATATGAACTTTAAAAAATTGTTTAATCCACAATTCAAGATGTTTCAGCAATTAACTGCCGTTTTTCTCATTTTGCATTTTCTTTATACTAAGTGTGGTGATGGAATTAGTTTATGCGCCAGTTGGGATGCTCTTATTATTGGTATTAGGTTGAGTGTGTGGTTGAGTGTGTGCTTATGTATCAAATATATATATGAAGACATACAAACCATTTTTGCTATCATTCAAATACGAAAAATATAAAAATAACCCAATGTTGGCAAAATATATAGGGAAATCAAATTGAAATAGAAATCAAATCGTTAGTATAATGGTATATGTAATGGTATATTGAAAGAGAACACATCGTTAGTATAATGGTATATGTTTCTGTAACTGATTCTCTTTATCTTTTTTTAATAAAAGATAAATTGAAACCGTTACAGAAATTGCAATCTATGCATGGAAAAGAAACTCTAAATTATAAAGTTTAAGAATACGAATAATTTAACAAACAAAAGAAATTAAATTATTTCGAACTGTCTCTTTCTTTTTGAAAAACGTGAAATGAACAACTTATTACGGGTATATTCTAAATAAACAGGCACCCATTTTGAAAAATCGTCTGCGTTAAAAAAAGTCGGTTAATGAGTAAATAAATAAAACTATTTATGTGCATTAATAAACTCTAAATTTATTTGTAAAAGTTGTGTTTGCTCATGTGCGCAAATATTACATATATGGAGACTAGATGTGTATATATTGCCGTTTAGCGGTCCTTAGTTAATGAAGATAATTCATTTTTATATTAATCAATTTTGTAAAAATAACTGTTTTGCGATTCATTTATTGAAAATCTAACAAATATTAATAATTTTAAGTTTGGTTCAAAAAATAAAATTGTTTCGATGTGTTTTCTTCATAGATAAATTTGTTTATGTTTTATTAAGTTTATTTAAAAACAAAAATAAACATTTTCGAGGACAATTTCGTTCCGACCATTTTATGGCAGATGCAAATATTTTAAAAGAAGAAACAACCATGAAGCGCAACGTTGAATATCATATATATATATATATATATATATATATATATATATATATATATATATATATATATATATATATATATATAAATAAAAAAAGAAAGAAACAGTAAGATATAAAATCCGGTGTTCTTATAGATATTTTTATTTTACAAAATAGTGCTCAATGTAAATTTACAGAGCATAATATTATAAATTAATTGATTTAAAATATGGTTTTTTCGCTACACAGTTTCAACCATGTTCCATTTCATCTTCACGAAGATGAAATGGAACTAATGCTTTTAATTTAATTGCAAAATTAAATTGGGGTTTTAGTTCATTTTTTTGAAACATGGTTGGAACTGTGTAGCGAAAAAAACCATATTTAAAAATTAATATAATATATATATATATATATATATATATATATATATATATATATATATATTAGGACTTCCACATAAAACGCGATACCTAAGGTTTTAAAAGTAAAAAAAATCTTTCTTGAAGTTTTATTTTAGTTATAATTTCAAGCCAATAGATGAAATTCAGTATTTCAAATAAGCAAAATACTTTGCTGTATTTCAAATCCAATTTAAATTAACTGGAAGGATTTTTTTTTCTTTGCTGAAATAACTAATTAGCGCCCTATTGCTGAAATAACTAATTAGCGCCCTAAAATAAAATATACTTTTCTGAAACTTTATTTGAGGAATATCATCTGATTTAAAGTACAATTTGTTTGGAAACAAATATTATTTACTTTAAGTTTAAAATATCACAGAAATGCATTTTTAGACAGTAGCTGTTTTTTTTTTATTTTAAAGAAAATTTTAACGTCGTTTTTATATAGTTTTTAAGTACTCGGTAATCTTAAAAATTTAGGAAAATATTCTCCGTAATCAAAAAAATTTAGAAATTTTAATTTTAAATTTACTATAGTTATTGCTCATATTTTCTGATAATTATTCTGAGTATGATCGCCCGTACTTACAAAAATCGGCACGTTTATACACAAACAAAAAAATTTTAAATTCTTTTAAAAATATTTGTGTTTGATGATTTATATTAAGCCTTTCCATTTATCATTAGTAAATATAGAGTTCACTTAATAATAATAATATAATCTAATAAGGCTGAAATTAATACAGAATTTTAACAGATTTAAAACTTAATAGATTTTTTCTAATTAAAATGAAAACAATTCTTGCAAAAATTCATTATCAATAAAATTTTAAGATATTAGTGTCATATATATATGTTCTTTACAAAAGCAAGTAAAAGCCTTTCTATTTAAATAATGTCATAGTTTTATTGTTTTTTTATTTTACGATTCAGAGTAGATTTTCGGTAAAACGTGTTTCTGTATGACAAAAACAAACTGATGATTTAATTTTTTCAAGGACTCCTGATTTTAATTAATTTAAATATGAAGACAATGAAACTTTCTCGAAATTTCATAAAACTAAGTAAGTAGGGGTTACAGAAGTAAAAAAAAAAAAAAAAAAATTACAAAGATTTTAAAAAATTCATTTATTTGTAAATAAGTTCTGAAAATTTAATTAAAATCCGATAATTATTTGACGCTAAAATTCCTA